TGTACTACAGAATAATAAATGTAAGAGATTTGCTGGGCATCACACACAGGTTTTTTTCACTAAATACCAAATGATAGTATATTGAAATTGTGTTTAAAAATATAACTGTAAAAAAAACGGAATATCAGTGAAAGGTTTCTACAGCTTTGTTCTACTTTGTACTTCTTGGAAGGCAGTTTTTGGAACACAATGTCCTTTCATATGCAAATATGCTGTTATATGCTGTTACTTAAGTATATATCCGAAAGTTCATTTTAGAGTAATAATAAATAGGTCACCTGTGCCTTATTATTTCACATTGAAGTACAATGAGCTACTTTTTTAACAGTAGTAGTTCGGCCGTTGTAACTTAAAATATCAGGCCTTTAACAATTTATATCTCCCAGCATTTGACATGGCCAGAGGAATCCTTTCATTTTAGTGGACAATGTATGTACAAATATGTCAGCTCTTTTCATGAAAATGATATATATTCCAAGTGTATCTACAGTACGAAATACCAGTACAGTGCAGAGAAATATTCTTATAATAAATGCACCCCAAATAGATAGTTACTCTCTTAGGCTTTCTCATTTAGGTCCAGAGCCTGGTATAATGGGAGAGGGGAACACCCCATTTAAATGAAAGATTTCCACCAATATTTTTTAATGTGTAAATATGAAAAGAGAAAGGTTGGGAGTAAACGGATAGCGCAATAATGCTTAAAAATATGTTTTTTATTACATATATAAACTCTTACTTTAAAAATATGCAAGCTCTTCATTAAAAGAAAGTCACGGGCACTCTGCCTTCTTCCTGTTGTGTCGCTCGCCCTATGACGCGTTTCTCCGCGATTCACGTGGGCTTCCTCAGATGCCATATTGGTTACCATTTCTCTTTATGTAGTTTTGTCACTTGCCCATGCTTTATCTTGATCCTCCCACCTGGACTCTTCCTCTCGTTTATAATGTGGCAGTTAGTTCATATTCAATATTTGCATTAATACTGATATTTTACGTGCCTGCAATGTAAAACAAATGTACCAAGTTTTGAAAATTTTCAGTTTTTTATGAAATATGACACTTTATATCATGACTCCCAACTACTAAAATACATTGAAAACCTTCATACTTGAAATACTATACTAGGTAAATCAGGACAAGCAAATTAAATTCTTTTGAAGCACTTTTTTAAGCTACATTATTTATTATAGGCACTATCTAGGCAACTGCATATTTATAAAATTTCTTTCTTTCTTTACTATGGGAACCGGAGGAGTGTACTTTTTTCTGCAGAAAAAAAAACCTTCCTACAAATGCTTTACTTTTATTGTTGTACTAAAATGTTTTACAATTGTTTTGTTACTTTAATGTTCAGACATCAAATGTAGTTACTGCCATAAAACAAGTGATGTCTTGTTCCATGCCCTCAGCCTCTACACTATGCATTATCGTAGGTGCCACAACAAAGAACATTGTGTACTTCCAGGCCATCCATACTTAGTGTTATGGGAAGAAATGGAATACTAAATTATAATTGAGTTATGTAACTAGAGGAAGGGTTTTCACTGTAAACCACTTTTTTTTTATTACTTCAAAAGTAACAATTACCTATCTATAGGTAATTTCATATTCAAAGTAGCACACATAGGACCATCTTTCATAGAAATCAAATGTAGAACATATAGTCTAGAATAGCTGTAGCGCTATAGACACTTACCATCTACGTTTATTCCCTTATTTGGCTGTCCATACCCTCCCTGTTACAGTACTGTGTATTTTCCCCTGTTATTTTGAGTAGTTCCTCTTTGGCCATTCGGGAGACTTCAGCCGGATCCATTTGTCTCCCGAATGAGGACCACCTTTGTGCCCCATTAGAACCTTGACACCAGCCCCTTGAGTGTGAAAACCGCAAAGGAAACAATTAATAAGTGCTTCCCCTGGGTGGCCCCAATTTCATATAACCGAACACATGGCAGAGAGAATGGCGGCCATCTTGTCTCCCCAACGAGGGCAGTGGTACTTGGTCATCGAATGCCTGGAGCTCTTTTCGGCTAGGCACTTGCGTGAACACTGGTACATTTTCGAACGCGGTCCATTCCTGTTCCGGCCCAGCTACTCGAATGGCATTTGGGAAATTTGTATTACCGAGCAGGGGGAGAAACATAGAAACATAGAATGTGACGGCAGATAAGAACCATTCGGCCCATCTAGTCTGCCCAATTGCTGTTCATTACTCCCTAGTCTTATCTTATAGTTAGGATAGCCTTATGCCTATCCCACGCATGCTTAAACTCCTTTACTGTGTTAACCTCTACCACTTCAGCTGGAAGGCTATTCCATGCATCCACTACCCTCTCAGTAAAGTAATACTTCCTGATATTATTTTTAAACCTTTGTCCCTCTAATTTAAGACTATGTCCTCTTGTTGTGGTAGTTTTTCTTCTTTTAAATATAGTCTCCTCCTTTACTGTGTTGATTCCCTTTATATATTTAAATGTTTCTATCATATCCCCCCTGTCTCGTCTTTCCTCCAAGCTATACATGTTAAGATCCTTTAACCTTTCCTGGTAAGTTTTATCCCGCAATCCATGAACCAGTTTAGTAGCCCTTCTCTGAACCCTCTCTAAGGTATCAATATCCTTCTGAAGATAGCATTCCTGTCAAGAAAGCTAGAGATTCCCTTTTATGGTTTTCGCACAGGAACATCATGAACGGAGACCGGCCAGGACACCTATTTCTCTGGAAATATTTTTGGCTAGCGCCTCGTGTCTGGCCAGTCAAAACATCATCATGATGGATGGCATTCCCGTTTTGCCAAATCGATCTGAGTGATTCTTGGATATGTTGGTCACTCGGGGCTATCGGGAATGTGCTTTTTGTGGGGTTCCTATTTAGGGTTGGGGTACAAGATATTTTGTGGATTTTCTGTGCCTGGGAGATAATTAAATTAGAGGTGTTTACTCAAGCAATTATCTCCCAGATACTGAGGATCTTGGGATTGAATCCCCTGCATTTTCTGCCTGTGAAACCCCTTGCATGGGACTGGGCAAAAAAAAAGTGTACAGTGCCTTGCAAAAGTATTCACCCCCCTTGGCATTTTTCGTGTTTTGTTGTCTCACAACCTGAAATTAACATGGATTGTTTGAGGATTTGCATCATTTAATTTACAGAACATGCCCACAACTTTTTTTATTTTTTTTTTAATTGTGAAGCAAACAACAAATAGGACAAAATAACAGAAAAGGTCAATGTGTATAACTATTCATCGCCCTAAAGTCAATACTTTGTAGAGCCACCTTTTGCGGCAATCACAGCTCCAAGTCGCTTTGGATAAGTCTCTATGAGCTTGCCACATCTTACCACTGGGATTTTTGCCCATTCCTCCTTGCAAAACTGCTCCAGCTCCTTCAAGTTGGATGGTTTGCGCTTGTAAACAGCAATCTTTAAGTCTGACCACAGATTTTCTATTGGATTGAGGTCTGGGCTTTGACTAGGCCATTCCAACACATTTACATGTTTCCCCTTAAACCACTCAAGTGTTGCTTTAGCAGTGTGTTTGGGGTCATTGTCCTGTTGTAAGGTGAACCAAGTTTTGCTCAAGAATATCCCTGTATTTAGCAGCATCCATCTTTCCCTCAATAGTGATGTCGCGAACCTGATAGACCCTCCCACCTCCAGGGTCTGCTGGAGATTGGTCGGGATGTGTCAGCTGACCGGAGCTCGCCGCGAACGGTTCGTGGTGAACCGTGGCGAGCCGTTCGCGGGAAGTTCGCGAACGGTTCGCGACATCACTATCCCTCAACTCTGACCAGTTTCCCAGTCGCGGCTGCTGAAAAACATCCCCACAGCATGCTGCCACCACCATGTTTCACTGGGAGGATGGTGTTCTATGGGTATTGTGATGTGTTGGGTTTGCGCCAGACATAGCGTTTTCTTTGATGGCCGAAAAGTTACATTTTAATCTCATCAGACCAGAGCACCTTCCTCCATACATTTTGGGAGTCTCTCACATGTCTTTTAGCAAACTCAAAACGTGCCAGTTTGTTTTTTGCTGAAAGTAATGGCTTTCTTCTGGCCATTTTGCCATAAAGCCCATCTCTATGGAGCGTACGGCTTATTGTCATCCTATGTACAGATACTCCAGTCTCTGCTGTGGAACTCTGCAGCTCCTCCAGGGTTACCTTATGTGACGAGAGCAATCTCGCCACATTGCATTGGAGGAGCCTGGTTGCCCGCCTGCTGCCTTTAGACTATGGCCCCATGTTGAAACGCTTGATTTTCCCCTGCGGGTCATTTGGTGCTGGCCCTGTTTGAGCGGTGATACCCCAGATAGCTATGCCATGCAGCCCATTCGTATAATGAAAGACTATGGGAAAGACTTTGGCTCCATGGCAATTGAACTGTATGTGTGTGCTCTGAGCGCCATTCAGTAATAATGTGCGCTCAGATCTGAGCTATCTGGGGATATGTTGAATGTACCTGTTTTGTGCAATGGCTGCACAGTTATATGTTTTTATGTGTTTTATTGTCTTTGCTGCCATGTGTTCAATGGAGTTTTGCCTCTGTCCTTGGAGATAATTGGATTACTTCCCAATTATCTCCAGGATAGAAGACTCTGTTTGGTTTTGGGCAGAAAAGCCATGCTTCCTATGGTCACAAAGGACTACGATCTATCTTTTGAACCACTGGACCAATTTGGATGATTTTGACATATGTTTGTATTTGGAGTATGCTGATTCTGAAAATGTAAGTGTTTATGTGAATGTGATGCATACTTTTCAAGTTATGAATAATGTGGAAAAAATTGTATTTCTCTGCTTGTGATAATTACATTACCCATTGTGTGGGCAGAGGGGAGGATTTTGTGTGGGAGTGTCTGAGTATATTGTATGTGTTTATTGGTTGTGTTTCCAAAACCCTGTGGGTGGTACTAATGTGTATATAAGAACAATAAACCCACAGCTCTGTCTGTTCACTGCTTGACCCTCAACACGGAGCTTTGTCTGGTTCTTGGAGGGATTTACTGTATGCTGTTAGAGACTGATTGCCAGGAGTGTAAGCCGCTTGGGTGCTTTTCCTGTTCAGCTGCTAGCAGCTATTCGTGAGGTTTCAGTTCGGGAGTTTGGAGCTGTGACGGAACGCTGGCACTCCGACTGAGTACCTCCGCCAATCGATGCTCCTAGTGCTCGCTGAGGACTCCAAGCACTCCAACCGACACCATCAGCACTGCAGACCCCACTTCCAGCGATGCAACTGCGCCGGGGTCTCTGCTGTTTCCACCCACCCTGCACCCAAGGCCAGGATCCAGCTTCCAGTGGGTGAACCTCTCTTTCCCCAGAGAGCAGGAACAAGCTCTTAGCAGAACTTAGTGATCATACCCTGGGGAGTATAGTAATTATAGCAACCCCCAGAGTGTAGCTATCCCTTCCCCCAAACATGAGCCAAGGCTTAATGCTGGAACAAGACTGATTTACTGGCACACAGAACTCACAATTTATGCAACACAAAACTCCTCTTCTGGGCCAGGCTAGATAATTGAGTTTCTACAATACACAAAGCTCAATTATCTGCTGGCCAGAAATAATACAGTTTCATAAAACACACAGGGACCCCAAAACATGCAATAACCCCATGAAAACAATCACTGTATAATGTGTCCCCTGCTGTATAGTCCAAAACCACTGCACGATGTCTCTGTGCACCAAATACTGGCGAGATGGCACCGTGTTGAAAAGTCCACACAGTGTCTGTGAGTTAAAATGGCCACCATCCATTGTTCTCACCATGTGCTTCTGATACAGGAAATGGTGGCCACCCAGTAACTCCACAGTATGTCCCCAGATGGTTCTTAAAGGGCCAGCAGCAGCACAACACAAATCCATTATGCCCAAATCATGTCTTTAAAGGGCAATACATCCCAAGAGCCATAGTCACTGGGCAAGAGGCGGGCAAGCAATCCTCTCCAGGCACAAGTGGCGAAGGGCACTTCGTCACAGGAGCATTCCCTTGTATCCAGTTTGGGAGTTTGGTGTTCTGCAGTAGCTGTGCCTGTGTCTCTGGAAGGGAAGATCTACTAAACGGCTTTTAACCCCTTTTATGCCTGGGGGTGCCGTTACACCATAGGTCTCTGTGCTGCCTCTCTGATTAATGCCCTCCTTGCCTGGTCCATGAGTTTGGTGGGCGGCCGTCTCTTGGCAGGTTTCCTGTTGTGCCATGTTCTTCCCATTTGGTTATGATAGATTTGATGGTGCTCCTGGGGCTCATCAAAGTTTTATAACCTAACCCTGACTTGTACTCCTCAACAACATTGTCCCTTACTTGTTTGGAGAGTTCCTTAGTCTTCATGGCAGTGTTTGGTTAGTGGTGCCTCTTGCTTGGGTGTTGCAGCCTCTGGGGCCTTTCAAAAAAGGTGTGTATATGTAATGTCAAAACATGTGCCACTTAGATTGTACACAGGTGGACATAATTTCACTAATTATATGACTTCTGATGGTAATTGGTTGCACCAGAGCTTTTTTTTTTTTTTAACCCCTTAAGGACACAACTTCTGGAATAAAAGGTAATCGTGACGGAATATTTCCATCATGTGTCCTTAAGGGTTAATTCTTTATTTTATTTGTGCATATGGTTAACAAACATGTTTGCTGTGCCACAATAGCTGGAGCAACCTGGACTGTATACATAAGAAAACATTAATATGGCATTAAAGGCATTGCACATTTTTAAAGTAAGTAATCAGGATGCAAAAGTTAAATCAACGCTTCACTTACTAAATGCTATTTCAGATATACATTCCGACTTTACTGTGACAGGAGTTAAACATGTTGAACAAGAATTTAACAGATTCTAATCATGTGGGTATTACTCGCCGGTTAGGCAGCCTGGTAGCCGCTGGGACATAGGTTAGTCATGACATTACAGTGTGGCAAAGTAATAAGATGGTGTCCATTAAGAGCATTGGAGACTCAGATGTTAGGTGCTTAGTCCGACACAGGGGCAGAGTATTTTATGCATAGGTTCATGTCCATGGGTGTTAGCTCGTTACATTTGTCTGCCAGGTTATGTGGGTTCTGCCGGGTCGTCTGTGTCGATTTCATCACCGGAGCTGGCCAGCAGGCAGACCGGGTCTTTCCTCCCATTCATCCGATCCCCAGTCTGTGGAGACGTGTACAGTCGCGTTGCCGTGGGCTTGTTTCTCGTGAGGCAATGCTTTTCGGCATGGTGTGAGGTTGTACCTCGCGTGGATACATGTCGCTGGGTGGTGAGTGGGTCTCATGGGCTTAGTGATCTCGATCTGATGTGCGTGAGGTCGAATGTCAGCGCCCGAGGGGGATGTTGCCGTTTCCTGTCAGCGTGTTCCCCGGTTCTGTCTCTGGCCAAGGGCCGCCCTGTGGGCTCGTGGTAGGTATCTGCCCAGGTGTCGCCGATTTGCCGGTCGGATCCATGCCGCCATTGACCTTATGGTTAGGTGGAGAGACCGTCCTGTAATGTGGAGCTTTGTCCTCAGGCTGTGTCTTAGTCGGGCAAAGACTTCTAGGGTGTTGATGGGTGGCTTAGCGAGGGTGCTTTTTGGCGATTGGCGCTGCTGTGTCACCATCTTGCTTGGGTTCCTTCCATCCCCTTGTGCTGTGGGTTTAGTCGATTGTAGAGGTCGCTTTGTGGGGGTAATCGTCCCCTGCGAGGACCGGGATATCCCCTGCCGGTCCAGAGGGGGGGATAGCAGGGCTGTATTCGTTGCTCGCTTGTGATCGGGTCTCGCGCCCGGAGGTCGGCTGTCTCCTCCAGGCCCCGGGCTTCGCTCCAATGTAGGCCACATGGCCGGTTTGTGTGTCCGTAGCGTATCGTGGTGCATGGCGAGCATCGTTCGAGTCCCATTGTGGACCTGCACCAATTTTAGGGCCCTGGCGTGGGTAGTTTAGGCAGAATTGTCGTTTGTTTGCCCTCTGTAGCCAGAGCTCTCAAAGAGCACGTCCGGCCATCCGGCTGTCAGGGCCCGCCCCCCCGGCACCAGAGCTTTTTATGGGCTTCATAACAAATGGGGTGAATACATACGCACATGCCAATTTTCTGTTTTCTATTTTAAAAGAAATAGTTTTATGTATATATTTTTCTCATTTCACTTCACCAACTTAGACTAATGTGTTCTGATCCATTACATAAAATTCAGATTAATAAAACATTGAACTTAAGGCTGTAATGCAACAAAATAGGTAAAAAGTCAAGGGAGATGAATACTTTTGCAAGGCACTGTATGTGTCAATAAAATTCATTTATTCCCCAAGAGCTGTGTGTCTTCCAGTTGCTGGGGAGGAGGTGGGAGATTCTTGGATTATTTTACTGTGCCTGACTGCTCCATTGGATTGTTTTACTGGTTCCTGATTGTACTTTGGTGTAATCAGCGGAGGAGAGTCCCTGCTAGGACTAGGGCTCCGCTACAATAGCCAGGGCCGTCTTGAACAAGGGGAAAGCGGGGCAGCTGCCCCGGGCCCAGTTGCTCTTGGGGGGCCCAAAGCAGCTGCCCTGTGGGCCCCCTGCCCTCAGCCAGGTCCGAACAGCCCACCAGGATACTGAGAAATATCCCGGTTGGCTGCAGCAGGTGAGGTAATCAGGGCCCCTGGCCCTTTAAGAGGGCTCCTGACCGGGCCTCTGTCTTCCTGCCTGCTGGGAGGAAGTGTAGTGAGGTCACTTCCTCCCAAGTAACAGAGTGCCACTGGGGAGGAGGAGGCATACATGGAGGGAAGGAGGAGGTACAGACCAAGAAGAAGAAGACTCAAATCAATCTCAGCCATCCAGCTCCCACTGGACTCCAGGGAAGCTGTTAAGGTAAGGAGGGTGGCTAAAGTATGTAAATTGATAGGACTGTGTGTGTTTATGTCAGTGTGTGTGTATATCTGACTGTGTGTGTGTGTGTGTATATATATATCTCTGACTGTGTGTATGTGTGTGTGTGTGTGTGTGTGTGTATATATATCTGACTCTGTGTGTGTGTGTGTGTGTGTGTAATATATCTGACTGTGTTTGTGAGTATCTGACTGTGTGTGTGTATCTGACTGTTTGTGTGTGTGTTTGTGTGTGTGTATATCTAACTGTGTGTTTGGGTATCTGACTGTGTGTTTGGGTATCTGACTGTGTGTGTGTGTGTGTATCTGACTGTATGTGTGTGTGTATCTGACTGTATGTGTGTGTATATCTGACTGTGTGTGTGTATATATCTGACTGTGTGTGTGTGTGCATATATCTGACTGTGTGTGTATATCTGTCTGTGTGTGTATATACCTGACTGTGTGTATGTGTATCTGACTGTATGTGTATATATCGGACTGTGAGTGTGTGTGTATCTGACTGTATGTATGTGTGTATCTGACTGTGTGTGTATATATCTGACTGTGTGTGTATATCTGACTGTGTGTGTATATACCTGACTGTGTGTATGTGTATCTGACTGTATGTGTATATATCGGACTGTGAGTGTGTGTATCTGACTGTATGTGTGTGTGTGTCTGACTGTGTGTGTCAGTGTGTATCTGGCTGTTTGTGCCAGTGTGTGTTTATATGGCTGTGTTTGTGTCAGTGTATGTGTACCTTTGTGTCAGTGTTTATGTATCTGTGATAGGCGTGCGCAGCCTATTGCATTAGGGTGTGCACCCTAAAGCACAAACACACGCCGTGTGTATATGTATGTGTGTATGTATATATGTGTGTGTGTGTGTGTATGTTTGTGTGTGTGTATATCTAACTGTGTGTTTGGGTATCTGACTGTGTGTTTGGGTATCTGACTGTGTGTGTGTGTGTGTGTCTGACTGTATGTGTGTGTGTATATATCTGACTGTGTGTGTGTGCATATATCTGACTGTGTGTGTATATCTGACTGTATGTGTATATACCTGACTGTGTGTATATATCTGACTGTGTGTATGTGTGTATCTGACTGTGTGTGTATATATCTGACTGTGTGTGTGTATCTGACTGTGTGTGTGTGTGTATCTGACTTTATGTATGTGTGTATCTGACTGTGTGTGTATATATCTGGCTGTGTGTATATCTGACTCTGTGTGTGTGTGTGTATCTGACTGTGTGTGTTTGTATCTGACTGTGTGTGTATCTGACTGTGTGTGTGTGTGCATATCTGACTGTGTGTGTATATATCTGACTGTGTGTTGATATCTGACTGTGTTTGTGTATATCTGACTGCGTCTGTGTATCTGACTGTGTGTGTGTGTGTCTGACTGTGTGTGTATCTGACTGTGTGTGTGTATCTGACTGTGTGTGTGTATATCTGACTGTGTGTGTCTGTGTGTGTATTTGACTGTGTGTGTGTGTGTATTTGACTGTGTGTGTGTGTATCTCACTGTGTGTGTGTGTGTAACTGACTGGCTGTGTTTGTATCTGACTGTGTGTGTGTGTGTGTGTGTGTGTGTGTCTGACTGTGTTTATGTGTGTGTGTGTGTGTGTCAGTGTGTATCTGGCTGTTTGTGCCAGTGTGTGTTTATCTGGCTGTGTTTGTGTCAGTGTATGTGTACCTTTGTGTCAGTGTTTATGTATCTGTCATAGGCGTGCACAGCCTATTGCATTAGGGTGTGCACCCTAAAGCACAAACACACGCCGTGTGTATATGTATGTGTGTGTATGTATATATGTGTGTGTGTGTGTGTGTATATCTAACTGTGTGTTTGGGTATCTGACTGTGTGTGTGTGTGTGTATATCTGACTGTGTGTGTATATATCTGACTGTGTGTGTGTGCATATATCTGACTGTGTGTGTATATACCTGACTGTGTGTGTATCTGACTGTGTGTATGTGTATCTGACTGTATGTGTGTATATATCTGACTGTGTGTGTATCTGATTGTATGTATGTGTGTATCTGACTGTGTGTGTGTATATCTCACTGTGTGTGTATACATCTGACTGTGTGTGTGTGTATCTGACTGTATGTATGTGTGTATCTGACTGTATGTATGTGTGTATCTGACTGAGTGTGTATATATCTGACTGTGTGTGTATATCTGACTCTGTGTGTGTGTATATGACTGTGTGTGTTTGTATCTGACTGTGTGTGTGTGCATATCTGACTGTGTATGTATATATCTGACTGTGTGTTGATATCTGACTGTGTGTGTGTATATCTGACTGTGTGTGTGTGTATATCTGACTGTGTGTGTGTATCTGACTGTGTGTGTGTGTGTGTATCTGACTGTGTGTGTGTATCTGACTGTGTGTGTGTGTGTATCTGACTGTGTGTGTGTATATCTCACTATGTGTGTCTGTGTGTGTATCTGACTGTGTGTGTATATCTCACTGTGTGTGTGTATCTACTGTGTGTGTGTGTAACTGACTGGCTGTGTTTGTATCTGACTGTGTGTGTGTGTGTCTGACTGTGTTTGTGTGTGTGTGTGTCAGTGTGTATCTGGCTGTTTGTGCCAGTGTGTGTTTATCTGGCTGTGTTTGTGTCAGTGTATGTGTACCTTTGTGTCAGTGTTTATGTATCTGTCATAGGCGTGCGCAGCCTATTGCATTAGGGTGTGCACCCTAAAGCACAAACACACGCCGTGTGTATATGTATGTGTGCTGCATGACGGTTGTTTGAGGGTGTTGTGTGTGTAAGGGTGCGGTGTGTGTGTAAGGGTGCTGTGTGTGAGGGTGCTGTTAGTGTGATGTGTGTGTGAGGGTGCTGTTTGTGTGCTGTGTGTGTGTGTGTTTGTTAGGGTCCTGTTAGTGTACTGTGTGTGTGAGGGTGCTGTGTGTGTGTTTGTGAGGGTGCTGTTTCTGTGCTCTGTATGAGAGGGTGCTGTGTGTTTGAGGGTGCTGCATGTGCGAGGGTGCTGTATGTCTGTGGGTGCTGTATGTGTGTGCTGTGTGTGTGTGGGTGCTGTATGTGTGAAGGTGCTGTATGTGGGTGCTGTGTGTGTGTGTGCTGTATGTGTGTGTGTGCTGTCTGTGTGTGTGTGGTGTGTGTGTGTGAGGGTGCTGTGTGTGTGTGTGGGTGCTGTGCGTGTGTGGGTGCTGTATGTGTGTGTGCTGTGTGGGTGCTGTGTGTGTGCTGTATGTGTGTGTGTGCTGTGTGGGTGCTGTGTGTGTGTGGGTGCTGTGTGTATGTGTGTAGGTGCTGTGTGTGTGCTGTATGTGTGTGTGTGGGGGTGATTGTGGGGGTGGGGGTACATTACTTAATATCCCCCCTCCCTTCTTACCTTATGTAGGGAGGGGGGATCATGCTGCTGCTTTCCCTGGTGGTCCAGTGGAGAGAGAACTCTAGCCCCTATGGGGCTAGAGTTCACTCTTGCGAGATCTGAACATTGCCACGGCAACGCTCAGAACTTGCGAGAGGAACCCGGCGGAGCTGCTGGTTGAGCTCCCCGGTTCCTCTCCTGCCTCCCTCCATGCTGCGGATAGCGCTGGCTCTGCATGAGCCGACAGGGGAGATCCTGAGATCTCCCCTGCCGCTTTCACTCCATAGGCGTGCCGCGGGGATTAGGGTGTGCCCAAGCACACCTATGGTATCTTTGTGTATGTATACCTGTGTGTCAGTTTGTATGTGTATGTGTACCTGCGTGTCTGTGTATATGTACCTATGTGTGTATATGAGTGTCAGTATGTGTAAGTGTGTATCTATGTGTGTGGCAATGCATACATCCCATCTAACATTGCACACAAATACACCCCTACATTCCAACATTAACAATGCACACAAATACACCACTGCATGTGTATCTGTGTTCCTGTGTGTATCTCAGTGTTTTTGTAAGTGTGCATCTGTGTGACAATGCATACATCCCAGCATTCCTACGCCAACACTGCACACAAATACACCCCTGCATGTGTACCTGTGTTTGTGTGTGTACATATCTGTGTCAGTGTGTGTGTGTATCTCTGTGTGTGGATGTG